GTGAATTCTCTCACGTTCCTGCACCTCTGGCCTGTACCCCAGTTCTTATATAAATAAATAAATAAATAGATCTTTTTTAAAAAGTTATATTCTGGAATTATACTTCAAGGCAAAGACATACTCACCAAGTTATTCAGGCCAACAGCTTCTAGTTAGAGAATAGCATGTGGAACAAATGTGAATTGCACACCTTTGGATATTTTGTTTTATGTACCTATACTGAGAAAGAGAAATGAAAAGGTGGCGTCTTCTACTAATCTTCAGTCTGGTGTATTTTGCACTACCCATGTCTTCCCAAGTGCCTTCATGTTTAGCCTTTATTTTTCCCTAAAGAGATTTCTCTATATGTCAATTTATTTTTCAATGCAGTTAGAGTGCAAGGTAACCATGCACCCTAAAATGGCTGAAAAATTAGTGAAGAAAATGTTGCAGAAGGAGAAAAAAGCACAATAAAGCTCTATTACATTATATTTTATGTGCAAATTCTATCTATGTATTTTACAATTGTAGTTTATTAACTATTTAATCTTGTTTTCATTATCCAATTGACATATTTCTCTCTCTGAGAAAATTGTTTGAGAACCTCGGGTGAGGACAGAATTCATTACAACTAATGGAAATATTTTTCATGTAACAGCTTTTCCCTTAACAGCAGGGGTTTCAGGAAAGAACTTGCACTGATAGAAGAGGGTTAGGTATATTTGCGTTTTGTCAACTAAGCAGCCCGTTCAGGTGGTTTGCCCTGAATAAAAGAACCATCTAGTTCAGAAACGAGTTCTGATAATGCCTGCACTGAACTAGAAGTTCAGTTTTCAAAAGACAGTTTTCCAACTCCTACCCATCAAAAATCCTAGGGTTGAATTTCAACCAAAGGACACTATTGTAGGGATAAAATATGTGGCTGGAGCTTGATTTTGATTAAAGCTATTTCTGTATTGTCAATGTCAACTGTGAATAAGCCCTGTCCTGGGTGGCCGGATGAATGGCTGGAAAGCAAAGGCCAGTTTTCAGGTGCTGCATTCTAGCGAAAGCAATCTACCCCCAGTGCTTCCAGAATGCTGTTATTGGGAAAGCAAAATTGCACTGTAAGAGGTCAGAAGCTCCCATTCACCTCTGCGACCACATGAATAGAATTTTTCTTCGGTGCAACCATATTATAGTTGTGGAGCAGCATGATTACACCCTTGGTGTCATGGGTTGAAATCAATTCTAAAAATAAAGCTCAGTCTATTCTCTGATTTTCAAGGGGTTCTGCAAATACTTTCAGGAAATCTGTCAGACTGAACATTTTAATGAATTTCACTAACTGTGGCTACCAGCCCTAACTGACTTGACCTGATCGGCGATCCAGAATACGTGACCCTGACATGCTTTTCAGACCATGAGGAGAAACTTGGAAGTACGTTGAAAATGATACTTTTCCTATGTTTTCTGAAAAAAGGAATTAGGGGATGCTATCCAAACCACTGCTTCACCTGTCCCAAGATATATCTCTATTCTTACAGGTCCATCAGCCCAAGAAGATAATGAAGGCTACTGGCCAAAGTGGGTGGTACAAAAGTCATCCAAATTAAAAAAACAAAAACAAAAACATGGTCCAATGTTATTGGATGGGACTCCTATGCTTGACAACAGGACATGGATTTGCTGGACAATTTCCTAAATCCCTAAAAAGTCACAGTGCTTTGTTCCAGGAACCACATGCTTTGGCATGGGTCAAAAGATGACTAATTTCAGTCACAAACCCCGACCTTCATCTGTCAGCCCTCTGCTTATGAGGGGACATAGACAATGGAGGAAAATCAGAGAGTGTCACAGACTGTTACTGCTGGGGCTCATAGTGGGCTCCCAAGACTTGAGGACTGAGTGAAAAAAATGATGATTCATGGGCTAGATACAAGTTAAGCCAGTGTGTGTGTGCATGTGTGTGTGTAGTTTTTAAACCCTAAAAGCCACTTCCAGCACAGTTCACAAAAGACAATCCAAATTTCACATTTATCATCCCCTAGGATATTTTGCTATGACACAAACTCCCTCACAATAACTATTTTGAAAAGTCTCCCTTTTTAAACTTCGTGTGTTCTTTCTTTCTCTTTGGCCTCTAGTCCCATAATGTCCATTTCCTCTTGTTCTGGTGGTTGCCATATCTGCCCATAGAGTCTAGGAATTCTTTCAGATCTCTGCAAAGCCACTTTTTAGTACATAGTAATATTCTACTTATTCAGAACCCTGAGAGGTCCTCTCATCTTTAGCATGCCTACTCTGTCAGCAAAAGACCGGTGCGTAGGCTCATGATGATTTTCTTCTAGTTAGTTTATGTCAAAGTAATACAAGTATGTAGTAAGAAAAAAAAAATCAAATAGTAAAGAACATTTTAAGATGAAAGACTCTCCAACCTACTCCCAATTCCTCTCCCAGGAAATGTCTTAACTATTTCTGTGTTATCATTCATATTATTGTGACCTTCAAAATATTAAATAACATAAATATGAGATTTCTGAATGTATCAAGTTTGTATACACTCTATGGTCTTCTAGAAACAAAGATGGTGATTTAATCAAGGACACTTTTATTCAAGTGTTCTTTCCTCTTCCCATTATAGTATTTGATGCATTATCATTTTTATTTCCTGACTAGTAGATCTTTAATTCCTCTAAACAATATGCTTATGCTCAGTTTCTTATATAGCAGATTCAGTTTTCCCAAACCATGTTCTTAGGCATGGTTTGAGGATTAAATTTATTTTTAAAGATTTACCAACTTAGGTATACAAGAGCTGGGGTGTAGGCCAGAGGTGCAGGGGGTGAGAGGATTCACCAGAGACAGCGTGGGGAACTGAACAGGCAGATTGACTGAAATACACTGCTGAGGGGAGCAGCGGGCGAGACAGGAGAGGTCTGCTGCACCATGTGGGTAGCTCCTGGCCAGGGATGGAACTTGTGCTGCAGTATCTATGGATAGCTTCATTGTGGTGAGGCTTTACCCCCTGGGCTACCAGGGAGGCCCCTTAACTTTCTTTATTTTATGTAACTAAAAGACCCGATTGCTTTACCTGGTAGAAACCTTACTTATTGTTGATCCCAAGCAAACTGGGTCATTTTGCAATACTATAAAATCAAATTCAATCCCTCTTTTCATGGGAGAGTGAGCCGTTTCTGGATGATCATGTGGTGCTAAACACTGGAGGTAAATAGCTTCTATCTATGGTTGACCTCTGTTCTCCTCAGCATCCCCTGGTTGTTGGTCATTGGCATCTCTGTTGATGTCTCCTGAGGTGATAAAGGCACCACCGTGAACTTTCCAGATCCACTAGCCATCTTAACCCTTCTATGATCTTTTTTAGGTGCACAAACTTTTCTGATTCTTTTCTATGATTATGGGGACAAAGAAAACTCAGGTGAGTTGTTTCAGCCCTCTTTGCCTTGGCCTGTCCCACTATAATTCCCACTTTATGACAATGGCACCATTTTGTTGGGTATTGAAGGGACTTCTGTGTGGCTTGCTGTGTAGTAGCTTAGTGCCTTCAGGGGTTGAAAGCAGAGAGGCATGTACTGTTTCTTTCCATGCTTTACATTTTCAAACCTATCTCTTCCCATCCCAGAACTGGGGTGGGTAAAGTATGCTAGACAGAGAACAGGCAAGTTTCCAAGTACTTGCCTTCCTTACAAATTGTCTCTCTAAACTCAAATCTACCTCATTTCAGGGAAAAAAATACCTTTAGGCCCTGATTCCGTCAGTGATTTTTCTTTGGATACCCAAAATCATAGACTTCAATGACATATTCTTTCTTTAAAAGCCTGACTTTTGCGGGCCTCCCCGGTGGCGCAGCGGTTGAGCGCTGGGTTGCGAAGCTGCCCGCCGCCTCTGCGGCGCTGGTTCGATCCCCGGCTGCTCCCCGGCCACTGGAGGAGGGTCCCACATGGCGCGCAGACCTCTCCTGCCGCCCGCTGCTCCCCTCAGCAGTGTGCTTCGGTCCTTCTGCCTGTTCTGCTCCCCGCTCTGGCTCTGGTGAATTCTCTCACCCTCCCACGCTTCTGACTGTACCCAGTGCATGTATAAATAAACAAACAAACAAATAAATAAATAAATAAAACAAAAAAAAAAATAAAAAAAAAAAATAAAAAGCCTGACTTTTGCAAACCAAAAGCCTTTGGATTTCAAGACAATGAATTTCAAAGCATCTTTTTAGAATCTCAAAAGCTCAGAACTTGATTGATGCAATTGACTATGCTAACCTCCTCTAGGTAATAAGACCAGCATGCCTCAGTCTAATATACTATAATGTAGTAGGTAAAAGATACTGTCATTAAAAAAATTTAAAAACGTGAGTGTAGGCAGATAATTACCAAGTATTACCATAAGAGCAGGTTCCAAAGAAAGAAGTCAGTATCTCAATTCCTCTGTATGTAAGGTGAGGCTATTAGCATCCCTGTCTTTCACACCACCCGCCCTCTTACACTCTATCTGCTTTTATGTTATTAATCAGTTGCTGTTCAGTTTCAAATGACAAAGCACCAAGCTTATAATGGTTCAAATACATGACTTATAATTTGCTCGAATATCAATAAGTCAATCTAAAATTGATACAATGGATAATGATGGTATAGGAGCCCAAGAACCTGTCTTCCCACTATGCCACTTAAGCAGGTTGGCTCATGGTCCCATAGTTGGAGCATGACAGGGGTTCTAGGAATCACATTTGTGACCCAGGCTAGAGGAAGAGGAGATGTGGAGAAGGCCTAGGGCCAACTGCATCCGTTTCCCTTGTCACTAAAGCAAATGGTTTCCTAAAGCAGTGTCATCCATAAGATTTTGTTTATGTCTTACTGGCCAAAACTGAGTCGTGTGGCTACCACTAGCTGTGTGAATGACTGGGTAAGTGCACAAATTTATAACCTCTATAGCAACAAACAGGCAACATTGAAGGAGACTGGAGGTAGATGTTGAGAAATCCAACTTATAGTGTCTGCCAAATCTTCCCTCTAGCTCCTCTATATTACCTATGTACTAGAGGAAAGCACCCTCTTCACCAAGGGAGATATTCACAGAGTCTTGCTCAGTTGTTGCATCAATCTTGAGGTTCCAGTCTCTGGGTGATGGTCTATGCTCTGCCAAGTGAAGATGGGTCCCCTTTAGACTCACAAGACATAGACTAAGAAACAATATATCTTGTTTGAATTATCTATTAATATTAGTTATAATTCTTGGGGGAATAAATAGATATATATTTTAAACATTTTCACCTTTACCTTAAATACTTGCACTCTTGCCCTTAGATCATTTGGATGAATCCTTTGCTTTAAGAACAGAGGTAAAATGATTTCTTATACCTCACACCATAAACTACCCATTTTTCTTTACCTCTCCAATTATCAGCTACAAAATAGACATTGTTGTTAACCTAACAATCAATGGAATAAAAAATAAGTTAAAATTCAAAAAAAAAAAAAAGAAACAATATATCTAACATCTGTGGAGAGGAAGAAACAATAACTAAAAAGCAAAAACAAAGCCAGTAACCTGAAAAAAAAAAGCCCAAAAACATAAACAGGACAAACACCCACTCAGTTGGAAATAGGTTGGGAGTACACAGGGGTTAGTGTTCCACTGTACATGTATCAAATCCCACTACAGCAAACCTTTGGCTCTGCTCTCTGGAAGCAGCACCCCTGGTCCCTCTGCCCTGGGTTCTGCCCTGTAGAATCACTGCCTTCAAGGCCAATTGAGATTGATCAAGAAGATGCCCCTCCAGAAGGGTGGATGACTTTGCAGGGACGCTGCTTGACATTCTAAAACCCACAGGACAACCGCCAGAAAAAAAAGAACCATCTGATACAAAATGTCAGTTGTGCCAATGTGGAGAAATGCTGGTCTAAGCCATTCACAATGGTCTTATTCCCATTTCTAGTGATTTTTATAGGCACAGGCATTAGACCATGGGGAAATCTCCTAGGTCATTTATGGGAAAGGTACTCTCACTACTAATAAGTGACATATGGTACAATTTTTTTTAAGTTATCTTATTCATGCAATACCTGCTGCCATCTGTAACCATGAGGAAGGAAATCATTAACTTGCTGAGGACAGTGAAGCAGAAAGATGACAACCCCATGTTCCCAATGACATTGTTGAACAACTCCATTTAAGAATGCTCCCATCTCCAGACTATTCTTTATATGAGAAAATAAGCATCTTCCCTGGATTTTCTGTTACTTGCAGTTGAATGCATCTTACCTGATACAGGTTAGAAAAGATATCTTTTCGGGCCTCCCCGGTGGCGCAGCGGTTGAGCGCTGGGTTGCGAAGCTGCCCGCAGCCTCTGCAGCGCTGGTTCAATCCCCGGCTGCTCCCCGGCCACCGGAGGCGGGTCCCGCATGGCGCGCGGACCTCTCCTGCCGCCCGCTGCTCCCCTCAGCAGTGTACTTCGGTCCTTCTGCCTGCTCTGCTCCCCGCTCTGGCTCTGGTGAATTCTCTCACCCTCCCGCGCTTCTGACTGTACCCAGTGCATGTATAAACAAAACAAACAAACAAATAAATAAATAAAACATGCCTCTATAAAAAAAAAAAAATTAAAAAAAAAAAAGAAAAGATATCTTTTCTATATGACCAATTTTTGTTCTATGACTGTTGATTCTTCCTATCTTATCCTTTAATGAAGTTCATTCATATTTAAGATCAGAAACCAACATACCTAGGGTAGCTCTCCTCCACTATTGTATAAGGAAATCTATATGCCAAAAGGCCCTCCCTTTTTGGAGGGAATTCTGACTGGGAAGTCTGCTCATACAGAGGAGGCATGGCAGTTGACAGTTTTGCTTTAGAATTAAGGAAGGGTCGTTCTCTGCCAGGCTGCAAGTCCATCATGTGCAGAGTGAAGAGTGATCTATTCTAGGAACCCCACACATAGCTGGGGCATTGACTTTATTCTCAAAATTCATATTTGCATTGAAATCAGCCCTTTGTTCTTGCTGACTGGTTGATGGTTGGTTTGACTTACAGTTACATCATAGGCTGCTTGCTGTTCTGTACACAGAGCTGTGAGACCCCCCCTGTGGAGTTGCTCCATAAGATTATCTTTGACTAGTTCCCTTTACTTCTGTTTTAATCCATGGATTGTTGTAGAAACAAGAGTTTGGGCTCCCACTGCTATCTCCTATCACATTTTCTGAGCCTCCTTCCTTTAAATTATTTTCTCTTGGTGGCTCCCAGAAATTCACTGAACTTTCTAGCCATTGATGACCCAGCTCTCATTATCCTGTTTTTCTCAGTAGGGGTTAATTACTTCTATCATTTTTTTTCCCTAATGGATTTGAGAAATGTCAAAGGCAAATGTGTGCTCAATCTGCCATTTTACAACTAAAGCACATACTTCACAGAGTGTATCCTGTTACCCCTCTGCATGTCACTTCAAAAAGACTGTATTAAACACAAACTAGTGACATCAAACTGAGGATAGGGTCAAAGACAAAATCTGAGATTGAGATTCAGTTCACTGAAGTTGCAGCAGCTTGAATGTATCAGGTGTTTGTTTTACTGGGTAGGGAGGTATTTGATGGCATCTGTCTTTATATCATGGTTAATAGGCAGAAAGTAGAAAAAGGTTTTGCCACTAAAGTTTGTATGAATTCAAGAAAGAAAACACTGGCTATGTGCAATGATGACCGTGATCTATTTAATTTGTCTCAGAAAAGTAATCTATCAGTCAGAGTATTTCATTAATTTTAACCCATGCCATCCTATAAAATAATACATGAATCTGCAGAGGAGGGACTTGAAGTAGTCGATGGAGTTTATAAATCCAGTCCTTGTGATTGAAACAGAGTTTGACAAATGGGTCTCCTGAAAACTCTCTCTTTCATTAACAATGTTACTATGGCAACATGAAGATTGGTCCTCATTTTAGGAGAAACTAATCTCTAAATTTGAATTCCCATGATACACATACTGATAGAGGAGATGTAACACATTTTCTGAATAATTATTGTTAAGTTTCTGGGACTTCAATATGTGTATTATTCTATTTCATAAGTTTCACTAGGAAGGAGCCAGAGGGCTGAACACTGACCATGGAGCGTAGCGGTGAGAGAATGCCACAGACTGAGAACTCCACAAGACACTTGAGCAGAGCACAAATGGAACCATCTAGAACCATGTGTGAACCATTTCACCTCCTCTCTAAGGAAATACCTAGAAACCACACAGGGTATAGAAGGCGCAGGTGGCAAGCAGTCCCATCCCCTATCCACTGCACAATGAGCCACAGATTCAGGCCTACACCCAGGGGCTCACAGAAGAGGATGGTACTTGCTTTGCCTTCTTTGAATATACTTCACAGAAAACCAACTATCTGTACCCTGGAATCTTCCATTATCTTCACTTATCAACAGTCACTTGGGAGGAAGGACTGGTTTCCATAAAGCATTATATAATCTTGACCAAGATGGACAACAGGCACTGTAAAGCTGTTATTCAGTTATGTAGAAGCTCATATTATTCAAAATTCTGTTTCAAATCTCCTAATGACCATTTGTGTCAGATTCCACCAGACTAATGGATAACCAATGGTATGCATCTGTTTTAATTGCTTCCTTTCATATTTGTGTATGATGGCCAGGACCTAAAATACACACAACTGTGACTTGATTTGAAAGAAAATGTTTTAAGATGCAACAAGCTAATGCAAAATGATAAAAATGTATCAAGCTAAAAAAATTTTTTTAAAGGACTTACAGTTCCTTCTTCCCACAATGAAAGCTCAGGAAGTGACTGTTGCCCCTAGTGGTGGCTGTCGTCCTAGCACCTCGGCCTTTAAGATTGGAGACCAGTGGCTGGCTTCCCCTGCAGAAAGCTAGCAGATTTCTGGTCACTTCTGTGCTTTTGATCACTTCTGTGCTTCATACCCTGAGTGAAACATGCCCAATAGGAAAACAATTTAGTGTTCACTTTCTTGCTTCTGCACACACCCACGTGTATCCATGGTAAGTAAAGTTTTAACAAAACTCCTGTGAAAACTGTATACTAAGTATAGATTTTTTTTTTTTTAACCAACCCTTTAAAACGTTTCCAGTGTGGACATATTTTAAAGCTCTCCAGGTGAGAGAGCAACTACTTATTTGCAAGACTGTAGTAGGCACTTATTCCCCCATCATCACTTGATGGCACCTATTTATCTCATTACTCTTTAATGGATAATAAAACGTATCTAAAAGAGAAAAAGACCACATAGGAGGAAATTCTGCATGAGATTGTCACAAAGCAACCTAGGTGGAAAATAGCAGACTATTAGTGAAATGCTAAACTGGAAAATAAGTACCTGAAGAGCACATTTGCAAGGTAACACAGATAGAGTACAACACATAACTGTTTAAGCTCTAATCAGTCTGAAAAGAACACCAAAAATATCTCAAACAAGGCTGGAGACCCATGAGAGCTTAAAAAGTGTTTACTTTCAGTTAGTTGGAGTATTTTCCAGTCAGGTTTAGATTTCTTGGTTTGTTTTGTTTTCAGATTCTCATTGCAAGGCAGTTTTCACAGCAACCAATAATCATTCTTAAACAAATTGTGTGTGTGTGTGTGTGTGTGTGTGTGTGTGTGTTTCTGCAAAGTGAAGAGCTTACTGTAGTTCAGGACCCCACTTACATATGTTCAGGGTGACAAGAGCACATTCCTGGAAGGTCTCTGCTAACTATTTGCTTCAATTGCCTTTTCACACCCATGATTCAAACCGTTCAGTCAGCTAAAATGGATAACAAGTGACCTAGTACAAATTACAGGAATTTGCAGGACAAGCTCTAGAAAGCACTCAGCCGAATGCCTGTGCAGTTCTATTAGACAACCCACAAATTCTTCTGGGAACAGCTCAGAGGCCCCTTTGACAATGAACATTTCTGATTCAGGGCATCTTTAAGCCTGTCTTGAAGTGAAGGGAGAGCATTGCTTGAGAAGTGAGTCACTTCCTGGACTGAGGAGTGGCTGTGTTTTTAATTTATCTATTGAACTTCAGTCATGATGAGTAATAATCCTATAGAAAATATCAGTTCTTCACAGGAATGTCAATACCCGAAGCAGCCTGAGTGCTTTGTGGGTTTTCTCAAAGGACTCAGGACCGCTCGAGTCTCAATGGCAAACAAAAAATGTACACCAACTTTTACATTCTCAGTAAGAGTGTGAGGTCTGGTAGCAGGTTTCTGTGTTGTTTTCGTTTTTCTCTGGTGAGCACACTAAAATATTATTACATTTTTTGTTTATAAGAGCAAGAAACATTGAGTGTTCCCTGATTGCCTTTCTTCTCCTATTATTGAACTTCTGTTTGTGATGATGTTTTCAGGAGAGGAAGGGAGGGCTCTGCATCCCCTGAACACCTAACTATGTCTGACATATTTCCAGGGTTTCACAGACTTTATCTCACTTCAGTCATACGCCACCCTAGGAGAGAGGTGGTATTATTGCTTCAATTTTACAAAAAATCTGAGATGCAGAGAATCTGTTTACTCTCCAAGATCACAACACTAAGTAAGTTTTGTGTGATCTGTTTCAAAGACCATGACCTATTGCCTTGAGCTAACTCAACGTTTTATTTTAAATGGCAATGTTCTCCTTGATCTGCTTCAGTGATGAAACCAACATTGGTTGTGTTCTTGTAGACTACGGTACATTACATTAAGCTATGAGAAATCAAAAAACCTCATTGTCTTGTCTTTTATTTTTTTGTAGGTATAGTTTGCCTCTTTGATTTATAGACTGAATTCAAGATTAATTCTCAGTCTACTCCTGAGATAACTGGAAGTAATTTATAAGCTGAATATATAATGTAAAATATGTTGTTTACATCAGAACTAGAACTGAACTGGTCCAAATAAACTAATTCATTCAGTCATTCAGCAACTATGTATTAACCAGACTCGTCTCTAGAAGTTATCTTACCACAACTGATTACCTTATTAATACAATTAAGTATGGAGTCTCTGGCAATAGGCAGGAAAGGAATTTTGTTATATTACAAAAGTTTGCATTTTCTAATAAGTGAAAACTATAAAATTTACATCAGAAATAAAATATTCCTAGGGGGAAAATCAAGTGGACAAGTCACATGGCTCTTTAGAGAAAGGGGACTGAGTAACCTGGTGGAGAAAATCAAAACTACCATTTTGCAAAGGACAAAAGTTACTATTCAAATGGAAAACTCTTGAATCAATCTTCCATATACTTATACTTTACAGGAATTCAAGTCTTGGTCATCAAACAACATGGATCAATAACTGCACTGAAGAGCATTTCTGAAATATCAGGCAATAATAGAACTTTCCTGTGCCCA